TTTGTACTTTTTGTATAATAGAGACAGAGTTTTGCCATGTTGCCCAAGCTGGTCTGGAACTCTGGAACTCATGGGCTCAAGCGATCTGCCCATCTTGGCCTCCTGAAGTGTTGGGATTACAGGTGTGAGCCACCACACCTGGCCCTTATTGTTTCCATTTTTACATTCAGAATTAATTCAGGGAGAAGATAACTTGTAAAAAAAAATTGTGGTAAAATTTAAAATTTAAGCCCCCCCCCCCTTTTTCCTACTAAATTGACCAGAGTTTTCATTATAATTTAAATATAAATGAAGATTCCCACAAGGCATTTTTTAAAAAACTGACTTAAAATTTCATTCCTTCATTGTTAGTCAACAGGTATTTACTGAGGGCTTGTTTTGGGCCAGACACTTGGACTACGTCAGTCAGGAAAACAGGCAAAAATGTCTGCCTCTGTGAAGCTCACATTCTAGTGACATGATTTTGCATGAAACACTTTTGAAATATGTGGTGTTTAATTTTCATACATTTTATCTATTTGAAGTGGCTTCTTATTAAAAATCGTAATCAGTTAAAAATGATAGGAAAGCCACTGAACTACCTATTGTTTGTACTATCCTTAAGTGATTTATTACAGGTTCTTATCTTTGGTGCAGTGCAGTGCTTCTCTTTAAACTTGCTCTTCAGTTTGTGCCTGTCATCTGAGTGACCTGGGAGGAGACCTCTTTGATAACAGGCTCTTTGTTGCCTTTACATCCCTAGTACCTGACATACATTAGCATATGTCTCTATTAAATTAATTGGAACTTCAAAACTAAGCAGAATCCTTTATTTTTATAAAAACTAGTTCTTGTCACTATATTCTGATCTTTAGAATATAAAGAATGAATCAAGTATTTGGAATTTGTTTTTTTGGTGTGTAATAGTCCTGATAACGTTGAAAGATAACACATTATACTTCACCCTTCCTTCTTGTATTTCCTTTCGGAGGCCTTCCTTAAATGGGGATCCTTGGCTGTGTGGTGTGTGTGTGTGTGTGTGTGTGTGTGTGTGTGTGTGTGTAGTTTTAGTGAGATATTTATTTATTTTTCTCCAGTATTGTAAACATTTTCAAACATGCAGAAGAATTGAAAGAACAAACTGAATCTTTTAGAAGGTAGATAATACCTTCTAGATTCATTAAGTTTTTTTTTTTTTTTTTTAAGTGAAAGCCAGTTTATTAAGAGGGTAAAGGAATAGAGAATGGCTATTCTGTAGGCAGAGCAGTCTCCAAAGGCTGCTGATTACTAATTTTTATGGTTATTTCTTGATTATATGTTAAACAGTAGCATATACTCTAGTAAATAATACAACTGACAGGCCAACTCTCAACAGTCACAACCGGTAACAAATACTGATAGAATGTTGTTTCCTGAATAATAGGGATTATTCGTGAGTTTTTCTGGGAAAGGGGTAGGCAGTTACCCTGAACTAAGGGTTCCTCCCCTTTTTAGATCATATAGGGTAACTTCCAGATGTTGCCTTGGCATATTGGCATATGCAAACTGTCATGGCACTGTTGGGATTGTAGCAGTAAGGACTACCAGAGGTCACTCACATCACCCTCCTGGTTTTGAGGTTTTTTTTTTTTTTTTTTTGAGACTTGCTCTGTCACCTGGCTGGAATGCAGTGGTGCCATCTCAGCTCAGTGCAACCTTTGCCTCCCAGATTCTAGCGATTCTCCTGCTTCGGCCCTCCGAGTAGCTGGGACTGTGCATGCCACCATGCCCAGCTAATTTTTGTATTTTTATTAGAAACTGGGTTTCACCATGTTGGCCAGGATGGTCTCGATATCTTGACCTTGTGTTCCTCCCAAAGTGCTGAGATTACAGGTGAGCGCCACGGCGCCCGCCCAGTTTTGGTGGCTTTTAGCCGGCTTCTTAACAGCAACCTGTTTTATCAGCAAGGCCTTCATGACCTGTATCTTTTGCTGACCTCCTGTCTCATCCTGTGATGTAGAATGCCTAACCATCTGGGAATGCGGCCCACTAGGTCTCAGCTGTATTTTAACCAGCTTCTAAAATTCAAGATGGATTTGTTCTGGTTTGAATGCTTCTGACATATTTCTCCCCTCTCTTTTATAAGAAAACCTATTTAATCTTAAGGATTATAGAGAGATAAAGATAGGTATCTTTTGTAACTTCTTGGCTGAATAAGGGTGATGATATGCCTAACTTATTAACATTTTGCTATATTTGCAAAATATGTGTGTATGTAAATAACTTTGAATTATTTGAAAGTTGCAGTCATTGTAATACTTTTTTTTTAATACATGTGCTTATATCTTCTAAATATGAACCTTTTTCTCATTTTTCTATACAAGCACTTTACCATTATCACGCTTTATAGGAAATTAACAAACATTCCCTAATATCTTCTTATACTCAGTGTGTATTCATTTTTCTCCACCTGTTCTCAAAATGTCTATCTATATGATGGAAATTTACTTATTTAAGGTTTGAGATGGAGTCTCGCTCTTTTGCCCAGGCTGGAGTGAAGTGGTACGATCTCAGCTCACTGCAACTTCTGCCCCCATGGGTTCAAGTGATTCTCCTGCTTCAGCCTTACAAGCAGCTGGGATAACAGGTGCACGCCACCATGCCTGGCTGATTTTTGTATTTTTAGTAGAAATGGGGTTTTGCTATGTTGGCCAGGCTGGTCTTGAACTCCTGACCTCAGGTGATCCCCCCACCTCCGCCTCGCAAAGTGCTGGGATTACAAGCATGAGCCACTGCACCTGGCCCAGTTTTCTTTTCTTTGAGACAGGGTCTTGCTTTGTTGCCCGGGATGGAGTGCAGTGACACCATCACCATATACTGCAGTGTCAACCTCCCAGGCTCAAATGATTCTCCTAACTTAGCCTCCCAAGTGGAGACGAGGTCTCACTATGTTGCCCAGGGCTGATCTTAAACTCCTGGGCTCTAGGGATTCCCTACCTTGGCCTACCATAGCATTGAGATTATAGGCCTGAGCCACCACCCCGGCCTTGATTTTCATTGTCTTTTAATTGGTCTGTGTATTTGTTTGTTTGTCACTGACGTGTATGTATATATTGATGAATTTCTCAACATTGCTTTCTGTAGCCCTCATGAAGTCTTGTACCTTTTGCAAGATTTGCAGTTTCATTTTGCAGATATTTTGCATTGGACTACATGGTATTGTCAGATTAATGACTAACAGTGGCTTAACTTCAAAAGATTTGGAAGCTATAGGCCAGGTTGTGCACTTATTAAATTTACAGGGATGTTTGGAGACCATTTTTCTAAGAAATTGATGGTCGATGAGGGTTTTGGCCTTGTCAGCTTGTGTTTCCTTATGCAGTCTCCTGATTGCAGGGATGGGGAAATAACATTCTATCACTATGCGTTACCGAGTGTGATTGTTGAGAGTTGTCCTGTCAGTTGTATTATTTAGTAGGATATATAAAAGTGTGGCTTTTTTTTTTTTTTAAATTTTTATTTTTGAGACAGAGTCTTGCTTTTGCTGAGGCTGATGTGCAGTGGCACAGTCTAGGCTCAGTCTCCTGAGTAGCTGGGATTACAGGCGCCTGCCACCATGCCAGGCTAATGCTTTTATTTTTAGTAGAGACAGGGCTTACCATGTTGGCCAGTTGGTTTTGAACTTCTGATCTCAAGTGATCCCACCCGCCTCAGCCTCCCAAAGTACTGGGATTACAGGCGTGAGATACCATGCCCCGCCCAAAGTGTTGCTTCCTGATGCTACATAAGGATTAGCTTTTATTTTGAGTAAAGATTTACTATTCAGATGAGTCTATGGTTAAATACATTTATAAATAAGTATTTGAAATAAATGTTGAAGGAAGTTCATAGATGTAAACTAATAGAAAGTTTTTGTTTTTTAAAAAATCCTTAATAGGAAGGAAATTTGTTTTTTAAATGTAGTACAATAAAAGGAAGATGGTAAGGAAGATAGTAAAGATGAAGCATAAATGAGACATTAGTCATATACCAATGGAGCCAGGGCCCAAGAAAGTGTTCAGGTTTTCTCTTTGTTCATCATCCCAGTTTTTTATTGCTGAGCAATAAACCAACCCAAACTTAATGGGTAAAACAACAATCATATATTATTATCCCACACTTCTGGGAATTTACAGTACTTGCTATGTGGTTCTTACTCTGTTTCTCATGCAGTTGCAGTCAAATGGTAGCTGGAGTCATCTAGAAGCCTTCTTCATTTGAAGACTCAAACAGCTGGGGTCTGCAACAGCTGGGGTTCCCCAGGCATCTCTGTCTGTGTAGTCTCTTTAACATGGAGACTTCAATTAGCCGGAGTCCTTAACATGGCAGCTCAGGGATTCAAAGGCATGCATCCCAAGAAATAAAACCAGGCTGCAGTTCCTTTTTATGACCTAGCCTTAAAGGTTTGCAGCGTCACTTCTGCCTCATTATCTTTGTGAGAAGCAAGTCATGAGGCTAGCTTATATATGAGGAAGAGTAATTAGACTCTACCTCTTGATGGGAGAAGTATCAAATAATTTATAGATTTCTTTTAAACCACTGTGATCTTTAAGAAAAATGATAGTAGTAACGCATAATATTTAGAAAGAGGTTTGGGTCGTAAGAATGTTTTAGAAAAGACTGATGCCGTGTATTTGAAAACAAACTATAAAGACAACATTTATGGCATTGGACAGAATAATGCATATTATGGAAGTGTAACTACTAATGCAATTTCCAGAGAGTTATGGACACAACAGTTGAACAATACAACATCACAGAGACCTCTCAAAAGCATCTAGGTCAGAATCACAAGGCAAGTCAATATACTGTAAATGTGTTCCTTTGACATCATTAGTATTACTCATATAGTCAGGTGATTGATTAGGTGCATTGTTTAGGAAATGTGAAACATCTGAGGTATTCTGAGACTGAAATGTAAGCTAGGGATTAGTTCTTTACTATGACTATTCAGATTCAGGGTGCATTTTCTGTGAAATAGTATTTTGTAGAAACTACTCAGGATTTTTAGTCTGTAAGTGTGATGATTGGGTGTTCATATGCATATGTGAGATGTGTCACCCTCAAACCTTGTTAAGATGTCATCAGCATGTTACCCTTGTGGTATGAAAAAAAGAAAAAAGAACTACTTGGCGTCATCCATTTAATTAGATGCTTTAGGGCTGAGTGTTTTCTATTTTCAAAGATACATCTGCCCTGAACTACAACTATTGTGTATAGGGCTGTTTTCTATTTTCAGAGATACATCTGCCTGAAATACTACTATTGTGTATATTTATTTAATAGTTTACATGCCTGCTGTGTGTCAGGCATTTTACTGGGGACTTGGTATGTTGTGGCACTGTATTTAATCTTAATGTCACATATTTTGTTTCTAATCAAAATGGGCCTTATATCTGAAAGCCTTGTTACTTATAAGACGAGGATATGAGACCAGATAGTTTTTAAGGGTCTGCCAAGGTCTAACATTCAGAGGGAAAGGTGTAAGAAGTTCTGGATGGGAAAGATGGTAGAAATGTTAGTGAAATGTCAAATTAAGTAGAATCATTTTTTAGACTTTCTTGAAGCCAAACAAAAACAATGGCTAAAAAATTACAAAGCTCAGTGTGTCACAGAAGAGCTTTTTTTTTCCTTTTTTTTCCTTTCCTTTTTCTTTTTTTTGAGAGAGAGTCTCACTCTGTTGCCCAGGCTGGAGTGCAGTGGTGTGATCTCAGTTCACTGCGACCTCTGCTTTCCAGGTTCAAGCAATCAATACTCATGCCTCAGCCTCCCAAGTAGCTGGGGTTACAGGTGCAGGCTACCACGCCTGGCTAATTTTTGTATTTTTAGTAGAGACGGGGTTTCGGGTTTCACTGTGTTGCCCAGGCTGGTCTCAAACTCCTGGGCTCAAGTGATCTGTCTGCTTTGGCCTCCCAAAGTGCTGGGATTACAGGCATGAGCCACTGTGCCTGACCAGGAACTTAATCATGGTCTGACATAAATGTTGGGGTATCTTTTACATTAGAGATATTTTAAAAACCTAATGGACTATGAGTTTTATAATTGATACAGAAGTCTTCTTTATGTAATTATGTAGAGCACTGGTAAAAACTGACATTATAGTAAATCACTGTTTTGTGGAGGTCTCCCTATGGAGATTGAGGAATGTAAGTTTCTGGGCTAGAATTATATAATATTTAGAGGCTGATCAGGTAAATCAGGAAGTTTACACATTTTAAGTGTTATTTTTAGGATTGTTACTCCTTACTATGCATGAAGCACTGTGTTTTCCAAACGTTATTTTATTTAACATCCTGATAGTGTTGTTGGGGAAATTTGAGTTGAAGGAGATAGTGTGGTTCCCATGCCGTACAGCTGTGTAGTGGTGGGTCTCTAAGCACAGGTCTTTAGTCATTAGGCCACATCAACAGGACCTGCTGCTGAGACTCATGGGCAGTTTTATATGAACTAAAGTTTTAAATATTTGTAGATAAAAACAAAATGTCATAGTAAAGGCCTGTACTCCAGCCTTTAAAAACAGTACATTAACTGTAACCTTTTGTCTACCTGAAATTTTTAAAAAAATTGTATCAAAATTTTCATCTGTTGGCAGAGGACAGGATCATCATCACATATCTTTTCTCCCCTCTTGCATGGGGTTTGATGGAGGAGAGGAGACCATGTATAAAATGACAGTCTCCATGCTCTTTTTTTTTTTTTTTTTTTTGAAACAAAGTCTTGCTCTCTCACCCTGGCCGGAGTGCAGTGGTGTGATCTCAGCTCACTGCAACCCCACCTCCCGGGTTCAAGCGATTCTCCTGCCTCAGCCTCCCAGGTTGCTAGGATTACAGGTGTGTGCTGCCACACCCAACTAATTTTTGTATTTTCAGTAGAGACAGGGTTTCACCGTGATGGCCAGGCTGGCCTCGAACTCCTGACCTCAGGTGATCCACCGGCGGTGGTCACCCAGAGTGTTGGGATTACAGGTGTGAGCCACCGTGCCTGGCATCCATGCTCATTTGAATGTTGAAAAAGGGACCACGGTTCATTTTTGGAGCCAGTATGCCAGTACCTATTTATGAAGCTTTTACTTCTCCATCCTAGCATGCTAGGGTGTGAGATGGTGAGCTGTACATACCATGTTAGAATCAGTACCATAGTGACTCTGAATTGTATCTTTTTTTTTTTGGAGTTGGAGTTTCACTCTTGTTGCCCAGGCTGGAGTGCAATGGTGTGATCTCAGCTCACTGCAACCTCCGCCTCCGGGTTCAAGTGATCCTTCTGCCTCAGCCTCCAAAGTAGCTAGAATTACAGGCATGTGCTACCATGCCCAGGTAATTTTGTATTTGTAGTAGAGACGGGGTTTCTCCATGTTGGTCAGGCTGGTCTTTATTAACTCCTGACCTCAGGTGATCCACCCACCTCAGTCTCCCAAAGTGCTGGGATTATAGGCGTGAGCCACCGCGTCCAGCCTTGTTTCTATCTTTTATGTGTTTGGGTGAGAAAGATTGTGAACAGTTGGTCTCTGGTTTTGTATAATATTATAGCATCTTTAGTCAATCCACACAGTACCTACTTTGTACTAAATACTTGGAAGTACAAAAAGTAAAGTCACAGGCCTTATTCTTAAGGGTAAGTTTACTATAAAGTTGGGAAAATAAAAATGTAAACGGTAGAATAGCAGTATCAGAGTTGACACTTCAAAGCAGTAGATGATTAATTGTAAAATTGAATGGAATTAGCTGGGTACAGTAGCTTGTTCCTACAGTCCCGCTACCGGGAAGGCTGAGGCAGAAGATCACTGGAATCCAGGAGTTTGAGGCTGTAGGGCACCATGATCGTGTCTGAATAGCTACTACATTCCAGCCTAAGCAACATAGTGAGACCCTGTCTCAAAAAAAAAAAAAAAAAAAAAAAAAGTTGAAATTCTGGAAGAGGTCAAAAGAAGAAGTGCTCCCTGTACAGTGGTACCTTAATTATACTTTTCGTAGGTATTTTTGATATGTCACTTGGGTGGGATAGAGGTATTTCTAAATGTCATTGGGAGAAGCTGAGGTAACCAGGATTTTGATAGATCACATGCTTCACATTATTTTTACAGTAAATATGAAATACAGATCAGTTTATACATTAACTTCAGTTATGTCCAGGTGTTGTAGTGAGTTAGTTATGAGGTTTATTTTGAATGTCTTTCAGTACTTATTTTTTAATGGGGCATAATGATTGATATTTGGATTCACCTTTCATCCAAAGTGGTACTGATCACAAATAGTAGCAGTTGTAATAACGGCAGTTCTGCGTCCTCAAATTCCTTTTTATGAGTCCCATTTAACAGTCTTTCTTTCAATCAGAAATGGTAATGGAAGAAACAGCAGGAGCAGCTAGCATTTTTTACTAGGCTCTGTGTTAAGCAAATTATGTCTTGTAATACCCTGTCAATGCAAATGTCTAAGTAAACTTTGCCATCATAGAAATGAATTTGTTTCAAATTATTTTTTGTATGTGTTGAGGGACTCAGTAACCCTTTCTTGGTCAGATCAAAACTCTTGATTTAGTTTAAAGTCAGGCCTTTAGGACCTGATTGTTACGGTTTAGAGTTTTTTGTGCTTGTCTGGTCAAGCCAATAACTCAAGAAATAGTAAGAGTTTAGGGAAATAAGGTCAAGAACCTTTTAGACTTACTGGTTTCAGGTAGAACTTGCAACTCCTTTGCAGCTCAGCAGAGTTCTTTGGTTTTTAAAGAGATTTTTGTCCCTAAATATGTGTGTGTGTGTGTGTGTGTGTGTGTGTGTGTGTGTGTGTGTGTGTTTTATTTTGGTCTTTGCTCTTCTTCACCCCAAACTCATGTCTTTCATCTACTGTTTACCCATTTCTTCTACTCTTGACCGAAGCATTGTATTATATTCTCATGCCTTCTGTCTTACATGATGCTATGCTTCCTTTTAGAGCATCTTGGGGCTTCTCAGTGGCTTCATGGAGCCTGGGACCCTGTAACAATGGGCTGTCTACCTCTACTTGTTCATGTCCGCAATTCAGATTTTTTGTTTTTCTTTCTTTTCTTTTTTTTTCTTAAGACAAGGTCTTGCTTTGTCACTCAGGGTGGAGTACAGTGGCACAGTCATGCCCACTGCAGCCTCAACCTCCCAGGCTGAAAAGCGATACTCTACATCAGCCTCCCAGGTAGCTGCAACTATAGGCGTGTACCACTATGCCTAGCATAATTTTTAAATTTTTTGTAGACATGGGGGTCTCATTGTGTTGCCCACATTGGCCTCAAACTCATGGATTCTGTGTTCCTCCTGCATTGGCTGGGATTACAGGCATAAACCATCGTGCCCAGCCACAATTCAGGTTTTTAAGGCACTCCTGAGGATTTCTGTTGATGTATACTAACCTTTAAAATATTGAAAGGTGATTAAAATTGCCCTGTATACATTTAAAACACAAATAGTACCTTTAATGTTCTATCACCTTTGAAGAAAAGATGAGAATCATTGCTATAAAGTTGGTTGGACCAGTTAATGAGTCTATGTACAGTACTTTCTTCACCCAAAAAGGCAGGATTGATTTTTTTTTTTTTCCCACTTAACTGTTTTAGTGACATTTTAAGGGATTTTGGATCCAGTTTTGATTGTTTAAAAAGTTTTGTGTTGTTTTCAAAAAGGCTTGTCCATACTCTGTTTTTGGTATGCCATTTTTGTTGTTGTTTGTTTATTTAAGTAGAAATGGGGTTTCACCATTTTGGTCAGGATGGTCTCAATCTCTTGACCTGGTGATCTGCCCACCTTGGCCTCCCAAAGTGCTGGGATTACAGGTATGAGCCACTGGGATTATAGGCATGAGCCTCTGTCCCCGGCCAGGTTTATTAAGATGAAAGCAAATTTGTTTTTTGGCTGTACATTGTCTGGTTGGGAATAATTTTTCCTCAAAATTTTGAAGGCATTGCATCGTTTCATTCATGCTTCCAGTATTCCTTTTGAGGAGTTCAGTGCTATTTTGATTGTTTCTGCTTGACATCCCCCCTAACCCTGTGCCTTATGACCTCATGCTCCAAGATATTTTAGGGTCTTCTTTCAGTCCCTGGTGTTGAGAAATTTCACACTGATGTACTTTGATGTAGGTCCTTTA